AAATCGGCCAAGCCAAAAAACATGTTTTTTTTAACTTCACAATATCAACAGTAGTAAATGTGTTTTGAACTAGATAATCCGTTCTCTTAAAAACTACTATTTTTTTGGATTTTTTGCCCCGTATCTCCGAAACGGCTGGAACTGCCTTTACCAAAAACTAATTAGCATGTCTTCCTATCAATACAAATCCAATCATTCAAATCGGTTGATCCGTGCTCCATAAAACGTGGACAAAAATTGTATCCACACATACATACACACATAAATTTTTTCTAAGGTATGCCAAAAAGCTCAGAAATCTCTCAAACCTGAAGATATGCAAAAATTTAAGTTAAGAATGGGGAAGCTAAAAATGTAAAAATGTTAACATAAGAAATAACTAAATATTATCATATAATTAATATAATATAAAGCGTGGATAAATTGAAAAAAATGAATGTTAGAAGAAATAATCAATATGTACTTTTCGTAGAAAATGAAAATTTGTATAAATCATTACGTTTCAAAAGTTTCTAAACATTTTGGTATGTGTGTGTATATTTGTATATATGTATGTGCACACACAATTTTCCATTGTCGATTTCGGGAGCAGGGATCAACCGATTTGAATAATTCAAAAAATATTCGATTCCTATTGATGAGTAGATGTGCTGATTAGTTTTTGGGCAAGGCAGGTCCAGCCGTTTCGGAGATACGGAGCTAAATGTGCAAAAAATAGAAAATTGAATGTTTGGAAAATTTTGGCATACCAATGGCATGTGTGTATATGTACGGATACAATTTTTCATCGTCGATTTCGGGTGAACCGATTTGAATAATTCAAAAAACATTCTATTCCTATTGCTAAGGAGACGTACTGATTTTAATTTTCAGTACGGGAAGTTACAGCAATTTGCCTTTAGGCACGATGCCATGCACCACTAGTCACATAGCCTTAAGTCTTGTTTAAAACCCAATCTTCACCCAATGTATCTATCTTTAGCTTTTGTGCCACATTTATCAAACATAAAAATATTTTACTTAGGGACCGATTCTGCCGCATAACAGGAAAATGTTATGGCAAGGCCATGTTACGCTCCAACTTCCATACATTATGCTACTGAATCATATTGAATACTGACAAAATGTCATGTATTTGCTGTGCATTCAGGCGTTTTACACATAAACTGCAACGTCACTCGTGTGTTATGAAGCTGAGTCAGAAAGACCCTGTTATCTAAGATCGTGTGCAATTTCTAAGTTATGTTTTCTATTTGACAATCTGAGAAAAACGCCTTACTGCAAAGCAACCATATGGCTTTTGTCGATATTTAGTAAAGAAAGTTCTTCATAACATAGCCTTGCCATAACTTTTTTCTATTATGCGGCAGAATCGGTCTCTAAGAGATAATAGATAATCTTAAGTATGCAATTATAATTTTATATGAAACTTTTAAACAATTATAATTCTACATTTACAAAAATATATATCCCTCTTACAAATCATATATCTATTTCTATTCCCTCAATCTAATCATCTGTTTGCGAAAGCAGCAGAGTACTGGCAGGAATAATTTAGAAGATAAGTGGATTATTTATTTAATGACATTCCAGAATGAATTGTTGATAATGTGTCGCTTATCCAGACTTGTATGAATATGTCGTGTTTGTAAATGATTAAATAGAATAGCTCAATGGTGGTGGGGCCTGCCTGCCGGGGAATTCACCGACTGAGACGGAGACTCTGAAAGTCCGAACTGCTGAATTCTACGGCTGCAAGCGGTTGTTACAAGTTCGCGCGCGCTTGGTAATGGACAGGGGCGGAGAACCGAAATATGAGATACTTTTAGTAGAAAACTAGTGGTGTATGGCATCGTGTCTCAAGGCACATTGCTAAAACTTCCCGTACCGTAATTAAAAATCTTGGTACGGAACCCAAAAAAATTTACACAAAATGTGTACACATTATTAAAATCCCTATAAAATATCTGATAATTTGATGTGCATATGTCTAATGATCATTTTTGACCGCCAAATGGCATTTTTTTTTACTTTTTTCATTAGATCTTCGAAACCACTAGAACTGCCCTCATGAAAATTTGATCAATTCTTCATCTTGTTAATACAAGTAAAATGTTTTATGAATTATTCAAATCGGACTCGAATATGTCGTAAATTAGCATTATCTTCTATATATATAAAAATAAGTCGGGTTTTCCTTCCTGACGAAATAACTCTAGAACGCACGAACCGATTTCGACAATTTTGCATTCGTTGGAAAGGTCTCGGGCTCCGCAAGGTTTATAGCTAAGAAAATTAGTTGTGCATGGCATCGTGCCCTAATGCAAGCTGCTGGAACTTTACGCACCGTAATTAAAAGTTCGAGTAATGACATTAGTGAGAATTATCAGAATTATGCTTGGTTAAGTCAACGAGCAATTCTTGCCGCAAAGAATAATGATGTACACGCCCTGAATTTCATCATACAATCAAAAATTGCTGGCGATTTGGTGACATACCGAAGATTCTGACTGGTCTTCCGTTTGACTTCAAACGATTGCAATATCCAGTTCGCCTTGCGTTCGCAATAACATGTCGCAAGGCCAATTGCTTAGTGTTTGCGGGATAAATTTCAGATAGATTATTTAGAAAATCATTGTTTTTCACATGGGCAGTTATACGTTACCTGTTCACAAGTTGGAAAACCATCCGCTTTGTTTGTGTTAACGTCAGACCAAAAAACAAAAAATGTGGTTTACCAAAGATCACTTCCATAAATGGATAATTTGCGGGTTCACTTTCATTTACTTAGAGAAGTTCAACTAAAAAACACTTCATTTTTGTAATCAAAATAAATTCGTTACTGTTGTATAATAAAATCAAATTTCTCCTTTTAAAATATAAAACAAACAAAAAATTTCTTCATCTTTCTCACGAAACTATCTGGTGGCGAAACGGAGTTCGTCGGGTTTGCTAGTTGTTTATAAAACAGAGGGTGATTAGGAGAAAAATGCATGGAACGCGTAGAATCTTGTGCTCATGGAAAAAAGGTTGACAAGATGTAGTGAATGAAAGGGAAAACAACTCTGACTGCTTTTTTTTGTAATTGAAAAACTGATGTTAGTAACGGTGAAAACCCCCAAAATTGAATGCCGTAAATTACATTTGAATAAAAATACGAGTAATAAATTGTGAAAAGTCTCTCTTTGCTTATTTTCATTTTTAAATTACGAAGCATAAAGCAGGTTTTTGATAATTTAGGATTCAAAGTGTTAATAATGTGATGATCCCATTTCATATTGTTACTAATATTTATACGAAGAAATTTGTATTCTTCAAAAACTCATAAGTGTTATTATTAAAGATGTACGGGGAAATATCTCGACAAATTTTATTAGATCTATAAAATATGGATTATGAAATTTACAGTTCCCGTCCAAAAGTCGAAATTGAAAATTTTTGCATATCTCACATTTGATAGGGAGATGTGCTGAAGAGTTTTTGGCAAAGACAGGTACAGCCGTTTTGGAGATATGGAGCAAAGAGTGCAGAAAATAAAAATGAGTTTTTGTGAGAACGGAGTATCGGATTTGAATGATCTAAAAACCGTCAATTTGTAATGATTGGGAGAAGTGGTAATTAGTATTTGGCAAAGGCAGGTCCCGCCATTTCGAAGATACAAAACTAAATGTACAAAAAATGACAGTTTTTGAGTGAACTAAGCGTCCGATTTGAATGATCTAAAAAACTTTCTGCTTGTATTGACAAAACAATTGCTTTTGAGGATAAAAAATTATTACTATCTATAAAATATTTTTGTAATTTTGGATTAAAAATTGAAAAAAATTACCCAGGCTAAGCACAGTTTAAGCGCAACTCTGGGTCAAATGTTTACTCAAGTGCGTTTAGACTGTATATGTACTGGAGCAATTTTCCAATTTTGTGAAAAACTATTGAAAAATGTGAAAATGCCGCTAAGCTAAGCACAGTATAAGTGAAAATGTCGCACAGAATTATTTGCAAATGCAATTTAGACTGTGACTATACAGGAGCACTTTTTCAATTTTGTGCAAATTAGGCAACTATTTTTTTTTTTAATTGAATTCGAAATGAAATGACGATTGTTAATGTTCTGGAGATAAATTGATTTATGATTTACATTTGATTTGCTCAGATATAACAAGATAGCAAAAATTATGAAAGTTACAGTATTTGCAATAATATATTTGAAAACGTTTAAAATTTCTCGAATATTTCATTACGCTACGAGAAGTTCTAGCAATTTGCCTTAAGGCACGATGCCATACACCCCACTAGTTAAATTTTGATTCGGTCCAGCAATTTGTCTCAACGCATGATGCCATATACCCCACTAGTCATAAAATATATTCGAAAATATTTGAAACAATTGTTATTAATCATTAAATTTTAATCATTAATTGTTACATTTTTATTAACATTTTTTTTATGCTTCGTATGCAGTAATTTGGCACAATGCCACTTGACCACTAGTTTCTCTTTCATAATATTTTAAGAATATTCTTATAACATCGACATATGATATTTTGTATAAATTTATATATAATAAAATATTTCATTAATTATTATATTAATATTATTTATTTTTTTTTTTTTAATAATTTATATTTATATTATTTAATTAAGTTATATATTTATATATAAAATTTAATTATTCCGTAAAATAATTTTTTAATTATATATATATATTTATATATATATATATATATATATATATATATATATATATATATATATATATATAATAAAATATTTATATTATTGTTAATTATTCCGGTTATTTAATTATATATAAACTATTTAATTACCAATAAATTGTTGTCGGTAAACTTAATGATTTATATATATTTATATATAATAAAATATTTCATTAATTAATATATTAATATTATTCATTCTCTACATTCGTATTAATATTTCCATTACAATCCATTACAATTTATAACCCTAACTATATTTTTTCACTCTTTTTTTAATTCTAGGTTGTCCTCCCCTGCCTCGCCGTATTCCTGTTCGGACTTGTCCACTCGCACGGCGTGTGTGTGCCGCGTATGTTGCTTCGTCGTCTCATACAAAAAGACATACATTCTATACATTTCACATTTTTCTTAACGCCATTCGGCAATTTTTTTTTACTAGTTTAACAATTGTAGTAGTAAATTAGTCGCCGGTTACTAATTTTCGTTAAACGTGCTGTGATTATTTGTGATTTTATTATAAACAAATATATATTAACTAAAATGAGTTCAATGCAAGTCGAGGCATCACCTCAAGCAGGTAATAATGATAATAACATATGATTATTGGTTTTGGATAAAAATGATAGTTTTAAGTGTATTAAGGGATTTATTATTATTATTAATTGTGTAAATGATTTTTTGCTGTGCGTTTGTGGATTTTGTACAGGGCGCTGGCCCCCCACATGTTTGACACATGTTTTTTTCAATTACACAATTAATTCATTAAACAAGATTTATTGATATAGCAATTACTTATTTAAATGTGTTTATATATTTATTGTTACAATTAATACTGATATCTTATGTTCAAAGTCCAACAAGGTCACAAAAGTCTTCTTGCAAAAAGTGAGGTTAGGTTTGTAATTTGTACACAAACCAAATGGATCACAAAAGTGTTCAATTATTATTATTACAGTTTATATTCAGCTCATTATACTTGGAATACGTAAGTTCAATAATGTAAAATAATACAAACATGAGTCTAATGTTAATATTTGTAGTTAGGGCAAATTGTGTACGAGCACAAAGAGTATTACAAGATCTTCGATAAGTTTCTAAATTGTATATGGGCACAAAAGAGCCCATCACGTGAGCCTTTATAAGAATTGAAGAGACGTCAGTAATGAATTTACTAATTAATAATTAAATGTAACCAATTTTTAATAACTTCTTGAGTAGATTAGAGCTTCATTTGGAATACTTAACAATGAGAATTGGAACATTTGTAGCTCTTCTGGAAGTATGTGAAATCAAAGAATTCATTTAGATACAAAAATTTATTTAGCGCTTTATTATAATATTTTAGATGTTACTTCTTCAACAGTTCAGGACTAATTCTTTATATTTTTACATTTTTAAAATATTTCCAATCTTTCTAGTTTTATGATAGCTCGCCGAAGGTACATGAGCTATCATAAACTTTTATTAAGGGTTGTCTGGCAGATGTACAAGATATTCACAACATTTACTGTTACTTGGAATTATACTTTGTTGAAATGAATTTACTTATGACTAATATTTATAATTATAAAAAACACAATTCTCAACAGAATGTATATTTTAAAGAATGATAGTAACTTTTACAATGGAGATAATCCACTATTTTTCCTATACGGTTCTATAATGTAAAAAGACAGAAACATGAATCTCACGGTATTATTTATAGTTCAGGCAAATTTGAGCACAAAGAGTATTACAAGAGCTTCGATAAGTTTCTAAATTGTATATGAGCACAAAAGTTATTGCGAGAGCCTTTATAAGAATATATATTTGACGATTTATAGAATGTTAATGATAATTTGTACAATTAGCTTGAAGATGGAAATAATCTACTATTATTCCGAATGATACGATGATATTCAGTTTCGTTCAATCTAAATACTATTACTATAATAAATTAAAACTTTTTGCACTTGTAAAATTGAATTTGAAGTTATTAGACATTTTATTATAAAATATTTCAAGATCGACACTTTCAAATTAAAATTTTCAAACACTAAAGATAGTTTAGCTTCATATATTGAACAGCAAATTTTTAGAATGTGTGCATGTTTGTCTAAGATTTTAAGATTACAAAAATTTAGTTTCTATTAAGAATTTAAAATGAATCAAATCTGTACTAAAAATATTCAAGTATATTCTGATCGCAAGCAATAAAAGAATATAATTTTTCAATAATTAAGTTCTAGATAGAGACACATTCTATTAATTTTATAAATGCGAATGCAAAGAATACAAAGTTCATTAGTGAAGGTTGATGTTACAATTTTTAGTTGACAAGCACAAAACTTTCACAAGAGCCTTTATTTTTAAATTTTTATTTAATAATAAAATATCAAAGTTTATTTCAAAATCATCCATGATAATAGTTAAGAGTTTACTTCAGAAAGTTTAACGATATTAAAAGATACAAATGTGAGGTTAAAATTACAATTATCAGTCGACAAGTACCAAATTTTTACAAGAATTTTTATAAGTATGTCTGAGTATCAAATTTTATTACAAGTTCATAAATAGATTACATAAGTCCAATTCTGAAAGTTCAATAATCTAAATATACAGATAAAATTGGTAAATAATATAATTTTTAGTTAGGCACATTGTGTACAAACAAAAATACTATTACCAAGGGCTTTAAGTATCAAAGTTCTTTCCAAATCATATATGGTATTCGCAAGTTCAGTTCAGCTAGGATTAACAAGGTATAAAGACACAAAAATGAAAGTAATACTATAATTTGTAGGTGAAGCCAATAACGCATTAACATTATTACAAAAGTCTGGACATTATAAAAAAAAATTAGAGGGAAATATAATTGAAATTAGTACTGAAATATTAGAATGGTGCTGTGAGTAACGTTTGCTACATTAATAAAATATTTATTATGACAAATATCATCATGAGTGTCTGAATGCAACACAGACATTAATACGAAAGTCTTGGTTTTGTGAAAAGTATTACATCAATAGGATTCGAGTATTCATAAAAATATTTAAATGTTAGAATAAATAATATTATAAAAGTTTGTCATGACTTTTAACACAAACATTATATTTTGTGTATCATTTTGCTGAAGTTAATAGATTTTCTTCTTGAATTTTTATGCATTTTCTAATATTCTATAAATTTAGGTATGAAGGATTGACATTAAATTAAAATAACTTATCAATATAACATCATAAATTCAATAAGAAAGTCTTGATATTAAGTCTCAATATCGTGACGATGATATGAGGCCTCTAATTATGTCTTTCTTTTGATTTTGTCAAATCGAGGAGTTTTGTATTTTAATTTGTTTCAACTAGAGTCGAAAGCAAGTGTATTAATAACAAGTAAATAATAAAAATCCTGAACTGCAGTTGGAATAGTAACAAAATACTTCATTTTTATATTCAGAGCTATCGACTTTTAATAATTTAATGGCGAGATTTGTGATTGCTTATGAAAGGATAATAAATTGAAAATTACCAAGATTGTCGACATTGAGTTAAAAGAAGTTGTATGCATAAAAGTTGGACCTTCGATAGTTTATTTTTAAACTTGGAAAACGAAATATAAGTTATTAGTCTTCCATTTATTTATTGGAGACTAATAGAAATAATTATTATAATTATCCAAAAATTGAAACAAAGAATCGAATTGTAATAAAAAACCAAAAGGTTTTTTAAGATATATAAAGATTTTTATTTATTATCGACGTTTCGGAACTAAGTACGTTCCACTAATGAACTTCCCGTAGGGTAAGTTATAGTAATCGCAAAAAATCGAAAATGAAATGTTTTATATATCTTTACATTTCAAAACCTTCTGAACATTTTGGCATACCTTAGAAAAAATGGATGTACGTGTGCGGATACAAATTTTCGTCGACGATTTCGGGAACACGGATCAACCGATATGAATCATTCAAAAAACGAAGGCAGGTTTAGCCGTTTCGGAGATACGGGGCAAAAAGTGCCAAAAACGGTAATTCACTTTTTGAGAAAACGGAGCGGCCGATTTGTATGATTCAAAAAACATTTTATTTGTATTGACAAGATGAAGAACTGAATAAATTTTTAGGAAGGCAGGTCTAGCGGTTTCGGAGATCCAATAAAAAAAATGCCATTCTGTGGATAAAAATGATCATTAGACATATGCACATCAAATTATCAGAATTTTATAGATATTTTAATAACAAATTTTGTTCACATAAATATGGGTTCCGTACCAGTGTTTATCCGTTAAACTGCTACGCGGCGCCCACGCGCTTCGATATTTTGTTTCTACGCAGTTAACGTATGGCGAATGTTTTGAAAAACAGTTCAAAATTTTCAAATTATAAAGATATAGAATTTTTAACAAAGGCGGCCAATTGTTTTCATAAATTTCCAAAACCTCAAAAATAGTTTTTTCGGAGTTTTAAAGGAAAATAGAATCTTGGTTAAAAAAAATAATTTTTGGTACGGGAAGTTCCAGCAATTTGCCTTAAGTTAACTAGTTACGTTTCTGGATTAACCGATATCAATGTGTATCAAAAACTTACAAGAAATTTTAAAATTTTAAGTTTTTCAAGTAAAAAATATTTTTATTTAAAAAAATGCAGTTTATTTAAAATTTTTCTTCATTAAAGCTTTTGAAATGTTTTCAAAAATGTGCAAACAAAATTCAAAATTTTCAAAAAAATCTATAAGCGACAATTTGCCATCTTTAACAATGTATTATTTGTCTTTCAGGTAGTTTTAATTGGAGAAAAAGACTGCGCCAGGATTCAGGATCGGGCTCGGAGTCTGAGAGAAAGACTCCTAGGTTACAATGGAAATACATTACATTGGAAAGCGAGAGCCCCCAGCCTTCAGAAGAAGACACTGAGAGTGTCTATAGCGTGCAGGGACAAGAAACTGGTAAGTCTACAAAAATCAGAAGACATCGATAATAGTCATATTCTATCATCATATTCTATTATATATATACCAGCTAACCCGGCAAACGTTGTTTTGCCATAAAAAATATGCCTAAATTGATAAAAAATTAATAAAAGTGCCAAAAATCAAATATTTAATAGATTTGGACTCTGATTCTTTGACAAATAGTTAAAAACTTGTTATAATTTTCAAAATTATTTGACATTTCATACTTCAAAAATAATTCACTCGCAACATATTTTTTTGTTTATTATACTTTTGTCATGTCATATATGTCAATAAAATTTTCTTTCAAATATTATTTATTTTTTAATAAATTAATAATTATTTTAAGCCATCAATGAATAATTATATAATTGTTAAATTCATAAGTTTGGCTAAATCAACACAGGAATATTGTGGAAATAAATATTTTTTTACATACAGATCTGATTTTTGACATTTGCATTTTATTTCAAATTAATTATAATTGTCAAAATATTAGGTTGTCAAATATCTCCCTTCCGCTTTTTTGCTCTTGGTTTATAATACAAAAAGGCGGAAGTGAGATATTTGACAACCTTATATTTTCTTTTCGGTCAAAATTTAATATAATATGGTATAATATTTAGTTTGTCTAGTTTGTTTTTGTCAGATTTCAATGATACCCTCAGATTGTACTATTCCATTCAAGAGGTTACAATTGCCTGTAAGATTAGCATTTGCGATGACAATCAAAATATATCTTAACTGATACATTAATAATAATATTATATTTTAATTACACAAATTTCTTTACACTTCGATAATTAATTCCAATGCATCATAGTGTTTTATGTCAATTTCTTTTAAATTAACGAATAAATTAAATTTTAGTCTAAATCAACGCAGCATCTTTATCTAAATATACAATTTTTTATATAAATATTTGATTTTTTACATTTGCATTTAATTGAAAAATAGTGAATGTCAATTTCATATATCCAATATGCACTAAATTTATAAATGTCAAAATATTTCCTTCTTGGTCCAAAATTAATATAATATGATAATATTTATTGTACAATAATGTTTTGTATCTATAATTTGCTTGGCAATATTGCCTATAACATAACTTGGAATAATTAATTTATTTGCTTCTTATTGAAGTAAGTCGTTAAACATTTTTTTTTGAAATGTCAAAATTTTGTTTGATTAATTTTAAATTCAATATGCCGCTTTTTTATTGTGATCTCTGATCTATAATGTTTTGATGAAGTTTTTTGTTTCCGAAATAATTTGGTAAGCTAATCAATTAAATCTAAATCGTAGATCTATTTATATAATTATTTTCATAAATACTGACAAATGACATTTAATTTTTTTACATGTCAACATTTATTCAAATTTTTAAGCATTGATTTTTAATTAGATTTAAAACTATAAACAGTGATTTCGAATATAGCATTTCATCAAATTTGGATTTAAATGTTGGATATTTCTATATATGTACATGTTTTTGAATTTTATTTTTTGAAATGTCAAATTTTTTTTTCAAAAATTATATATCGAAATTTCCTTAAATTTTGACATTTGTCATTTTAGTGTTTTGTTTTTTTTTTGGTCATTTTCTGTCAAATTTTTTTGAAATTTATAAAAATTATGTGTATTTATATTTTGAATTTACTTTTCAAAATTTCCTATAACCTAAGTTGGATATACATGCACACGATGAGCCAATAAAATTTAAAATCGGTTCAGTAGTTTGGGCGTCCATCGCGAACCAACATCGTGACACGAGATTTATATATATAGATATTATTTATCTTTTAGAATTCTGCAGAGACACGAGTGACACAGACTCATCGGACAGTTGGAGCAGTTACAGTGTCGATGTGGGTGACATATTGATGAGAGTCGAATACGAAGTGGACAGTGATTGTGACAAAGAGGAGAAGTTTGTGTTCGGTGATGGAGACGCTAGCTCCAGTGGAACAGAGGTTGTACAATCGAAAGGCAATGTGAGCAAATTAAATTTTTTACAACTGTACTCATAAATTACTTGTGTTAATATTAGGGTGTAGTTGAAACTGCAACAGATTTATTAGTCGCAGCTATCTGCGATAGTGATCTTGCGATATGGGCAGACACAGAGGACAGGTAATAATAGACAGATGAAGAAACTTATATATATATATATATATATATATAATTCAGTCTTTATTATATGTCTATTTCCTTTACAGTAAATCGGGGTACTCGACGGATTCGGAGTTGGGTCGAGCGGATTTCTGGACGTGTATACAGTGTAAAAGTAAAAATAATAATCCTCTGTTTCGATATTGTGAGAAATGTTATCAAACGAGAAAGAATTTCTTTCCTCCACGACCAAAAGGCAGGAAGAAGAAGAGGAGTTTGGCGGGGAAGTACGAGTCCCAAAGGAATTGTTCCACAACGGCGGAAGAAGGTATTTATTAGAATAATTTATATTATTTTTATATAAAAGTTATATGTATATAAAATGATAGATATTTTTACATCTTTTTACCTGACTTTGCGTCGTGGTTACGCTCGAAGGAAGTTGGCTGAATTAACTTTATTTTTATTATTCTTTCATTATTACGGAGGCGGTTCAAAATTTCTTTCACTTTCTAATTTTTTTTTTGCCATTGTAAAACTATAATTTTTTTTTATAAATTATAGATTTTGTAAAAAATTTGCTCATATTCAATAAATTTACGCCATTTTTTTGTCTAACGCACCTCCCCCCTATTATTATAGTTTATCATTAACATTATATAAACATTTACATTAATTTTTAACTTCCCGATTCGCTAATTTTATGTTTTCTCGACGTTTCAAGCCATTCTGAATCGAATGAGACCAAAATTGTAAAAAGTATGTGTGTGTGTGCGTGAACAGATTTTTTGCCGTAAATCAACGTTTTCTCAAAACCGGCTGGACCGATTTCAAAAATTTAAAAGCCATTCGATGTATCTCGATGAGGACTATTGTTTGTCAGTTTTGTGCGACGATCGGCCAAGCCGTTTTTATAAATCGCAGAAAAGTGAAACATTTTTCGTCTACGTTTTAGCCCGCAATTCTGAATCAATTTTGAAAATTCAAAAACCGTTCGAAAGATATTGGTTGGGAATCGACCTGATTAGTTTTTGGTAAATATCGGCCGAGCCGTTTTCTTGTAATAAGGTGTTAAAAAAAATTTCGACGATTTTCGTGAATTTTTTTTGACAGTAGATACCATAGTCTTATATAGATCATACTAGAATATTACGGTCCTACGACAAGTGGTTTAATTTTAAAAAATCGTCAAAGTTTACAAAAATTAGTGTCGTTTTTTTGGCGTTTGTCAAAATTAGAACTTTCATCGACGTTTGCTCAGAATCGCCTAAACCGATTTCAGAAATTTAAAAGCCATTAGATGTATCTCGATGAGGACTATCGTTTGTCAGTTTTGTGCGACGATCCGCCAAGCCGTTTCTTTGTAATTTGAAAAAAAGTGTTAAACTTTTCGTCCACATTTAAGCTCATATTACCGAATCGATTTTAAAAAATCAAAAACTGTTCGAGAAATATTAGTTGGGAATGATACTGATTAGTTTTAGGTGAAAATCGACCGAGCCGTTTGCTTGTGATGAAAAAAAATTAAGCCGTTTTTTATGGAACTTATAAAATAAAATATAAATCATGGTCTTATAGAACTTACTGAAATATTATGGCCTTACGACAAGTAGTTTAAATTTAAAAATTCATCAAAGTTTGAGAAAATGAGTAGTTTTTTTGACGTTTGTTAAACTTAAAATTAGACGATTTATTTGGTATAACGATAGAGTACCTTAATGAGGTCTTAATGAACATACTAAACCATTAAAGTCCTGGTACAAATATAAAAATTGTTGATTTTTGAAAATTTGCTTTTAGAAAATACTCCGACCGAGTTAACGTGTTCGTTCGTCTTCAATAATGTGTAATGAATCCACTCGGAATACTTTTAATCACTCATAAATTAATTTATTTTTTATTGATTAAGTCGATTAATTACACATATCGGGAAGTTCATGTAACTTGCCTCAAGGCTAAATACCAATACCAACTAGTTTTCTATATTCATAGCTTCAAATTGTTCTAAATATCTTGAAATTCAAGTATATGTTATGTTTTCTTTTAAATTTAATCAATAAGCAATTGTTTTATACACTTTACAAATATGCTAGTCAATCATAGACATTATACTACATTGACTGCTAAGAGTATGTGACGTCACATGTCCGAGCGAACATTGCCGACGACAATCGCGGACTCTCTCGATTGATCAAATGTCACGTGTCATATGTTACGTGCCTAACTGGCGGATTTGATTTTATGTACATTAATAATATTAACAATATCATTTCTTACAAAATTATCAGCCACCACAATTGCCATTATATTATTGAAATAAAACATATGATCTGTATCACTTGATCAATCGGGAAAGTCCGCGATTGTCGTCGGCAATGTTCGCTCGGACATGTGACGTCACAGTCTCTTCTATGTTTGAGCACTTCTTTTGTGCTCGACAGCAGCCCATGCAATATAAGGTATATGTACTAAATACACAAAGTTCTGCCACTTTTTCATGACGAGTATATTAGTCAATCACAGCTAACTGGTTAATTATATAATTTTTCTAGTACAACACTATCATAGTTTCATTTTTTTAATTTTCTATAGTTAAAATTATAGATGCATTTACTTAATTAATAATTAATTACATCAAATATTTTACATTAAATATTCCTTTATTAAACAACGTTGGATTTTTTTATTGAGTGAATTTAATTACCAATGTTGGATCTTTGATCTGAAAAAGAATTCTAAACACATTTTCAATATGTTCTTGCTTAGATTATTCAAAGTAAAATTACAGTACCACTAAAGAATATTTTTGATAAAATATTCACAAAAAACTGATTTAACTAATTTGTTTGGATGTTACCTTAGCAGACAATTGTAACATTAAGTGAATATATATTTAACGGGCTAGTCATCTTCATTCAAATCGATAATACATACGACAAATAATTTACTTCCCGTAGGTTAAGTTATAGTAATCGCACATATAATTGTTATATATCTTTACGTTGCAAAACCTTCTGAACGTTTTGTTATATCTTAGAAAAAAAATGTATGTATGTGTGTGTGTGTGTCGATACAAATTTTCGTCGACGATTTTGGGAACACGGATGAATTGATTTGAATAATTCAAAGAACATTCGATTCGTATTGATAAGGAGACGTGCTGATTAGTTTTTGGCGAAGGCAGGTCTAGCCGTTCCGAAGATATGGGGCAAACAGTGACAAAAACGGTAACTCTGTTTTTAAGAGAACGGAGCGTCCGATTTGAATAATTCAAAAAACATTTTACTTGTTTTAACAAGATGAAAAACTGATTTTTGGGAAGGCAGATCTAGCGGTTTCGGAGATGTAAAAAAAGTATAAAAACAACGCTATTTTGCGGTCAAAAATGATCATTGGACATATGCACATCAAATTATCAGATATTTTATAAAGATTTATGTAATCAGAACAAATTTTGTTTACATGCTATGGGTTTCGTACCAATGTTTATCCGTTAGACTGCGACACGGCGCTTGCGCGCTTCGATATTTCTTCTCTAAAACACGCAGCACGATCGGTTTGAAAAAACTACAAATTTTTCCAAAAATATCAAAATATGGAAAAAATTTCAAATTTATAAAAAAAAAAAAATTAACAAAATTCTCAAAAAAAATTTTTTTTCAAATTTTTTTTAAAAAAAATTAAAGCTTATTTAAAAATTTTAATTTTCGGTACGGGAAACTCCAGCAATTTGTCTTAAGGCACGATGCAATGCATTACTAGTTAATAATATTAAAGACACTTTCATATTTCGTCTTTAGGAGAAGTTACATAAGATATATTTTCCTTCATTCTTTAGTCTATCTTACAACTTTTACAAAGGATAAATAAACTGGGAATCCTTTTTACGCGAATAAAGAGCTTTTACTGTAATAGTAATTCTTTCTACCTTTAAATTTTTTTATTAAAAAAATTCTTTATTACCCAGATGCGCCAGAAAATCAATTCTCCCGAATCCAGAGCCAAGACTCAGGCATAGCCACGAGCCTGAGCCAGGAAAGCATCGATTTAATGGACCTGGGAAAGATAAAAATCCCCGAAAACTCTTGAAGCAAACCCAACTGTATCAATCTTTAGCCGAAGACACAAAACCAGGCAGCAGTCGTGACGACGGTTCATTGGTAAGTTTGGACTTGGTAAGAACAGATCAAAAAGTCGTATTATATTCTAAGAAGAATAAAGATAACCAGGAACCAACTAAGTAAATGAAGTTGATAATAAAATTAATCAAGTTAATAACGGGGGGGTTGTTGAAACTTCTGACGATAAAAACAGTAGTCTCTGTATAACTTGTATGAGTAACGAGAAAAATGCTGTTTTCATGCACACGGGGCCCTTGCACATGTGCTGTTGTTATAAATGTGCCATGAGGGTGTGGACCGAGTGCAAACGTTGTCCTGTATGTAATCGGAAAATTAGCAATGTTAAAAAAGTTTGTGTAGCATAATTGTATAAAATGAACTACTAGCTGCAAATAATTATATTTTTTTCCACTTGTCAGCCCGTTTGTTTTTTATGCAGGTTTTCATAATTGAATAGTCCTTCTTGTATATAATAAAATATATATATATATAAATATATAATTAAATAAATGTATAATGAATTATTTAAAGCGCGTGCAATTGAGGATTAATATATTTTTTTATAGTTATATGTAAACATTTTGCCTTACTTTTGTAATTAGCTTCTAAGATTGTCATTTATCACTGCCGGGGATTTTGAATCTATTCATTTGTAAATATAGATTTAAACACAACAAAATGTACATAATGATGGAAAAGATTTCAAAAAAAAAAAAGGAAAATGATATAAATGACAACATCTAAAAAAAAAGAACACAAAAAACTAATGAATTAATAAAACAATTTTATTTCAGATAAATCTGTTGTTTTAATTAATATTTATATTTTTTATTTTCATACAGTTTAAATTAAAATGTGATCGTAAACTTATAATTTTAGCAATTCTTTGGTTACAAAATATATAAAATTTAAATATAAATTAAAACCTAATAATTAATATATTTGTAAAAAAATAACACATGTCTGTTTGAGCATTTTAAATGCATTTGTCACAATTTTATTTGTGCCCGTGTGTGGATTCGTGCAAAATTGTAATGGACAATTCATTTTAAAAATATAATTTGAACATTGTTTGTCATATATATACTAGATGACCCGGCGGACGTTATCCTGTACCCATGTCTACAATTCAAAAGTTCTAAGTTTTTTTAATCTCATCCTATACTTTTTATATTCTATTTGATGTCCTGCCTTTGTGATTCATTTATGGTCTTAGCATAAGCAATTTAAGAATTTCAGGAAAAAATAATACAGTATATGGGTTAAAAAATAATATCACACTTCATTTTACCACAGAACATAATTGCTTCAATAATTTAGTCTATAATTTTCATAATCTTGTACAATATATTAGTTGTTTTTTGGCAATTGCAATTTCTTACGTACTTTTTTCTTGATAATAATTTAATAAACATTATGGTTTATGTTCAAATCTTATGTGAATTATAATTATAATTTGTAAAATCTAATTCATATAGTGGATAACTAAAAAGTCATTTCAGCAATAATTTGTTACAAAAAATCTATTCTATGACTTCCAAGATTTTTTTATCTAAAAATTCAAATTGAAAATAACATTGAAACTGCCGACAAATTTGTTTGGAAATTCATTTAAAAAAAAAACATGTTAAAAAAAAGCATGGATAAAAATCAATCGAAAAAAGCGTCATATTTTACAGTTTAGTATACAGTGATATTTTTTTTAATGAAACTTTTTTTTTATTTAATTTTTTAATTATTATAATGAATTTCTCAGAACTTCAAGTTATTATTTTGTTTTGAAAAATGCAATCGATATTTTTTGTGCTTAATCATTTTTATTTTTTTACTAAAATATATATTAAAATTGATAAAATGTTTTCTACACAAAGATTAGGTCTCATTTTGTATCTTACTCGATCATATAATTATTTCTACAATCATTAATAATTCCTTTTGTCTCATATTTTTCAGAATATAATTGCAATAAAAATATTTATATATTTAAAATAAACGCAACGATTTGTTGTTAATATAAAACATAAACTTTTTTGATTTTCAGAATTAAATTATTTCAACAGGAACTCGAATGAAGAACATTTATTTGCATTTTTTGCATAACTAAGACTAAAATATGCTACAATAATAATTTAGAAATAAAAAGTAAAAAGTATTTGCAGTTTGCTTTTCATAATATTAAAAACGAAAATTACAATTTCGAAATTTTAGCATTTGGTTATGTACCATACTATTGTGTAATATTACATTATACATTAAAACTAATGTATTTCGCATTGTATTATTTTTATTGCTTATTAAGTTTTTAAGAAACACAAATCAAAAAGCATTAAAATCCTCCAGAAGATATGTTATTCTGTTTATTTATTGTCTTATCTTTGTGTAGTTTAATGAAACAACCTTCAGCAAAACGTCTTTTGATTAAAGTTTCTTCAACATGTCTTATTAAGAAAAAGTATTTTATGTATTAATGTGTTCTATAAGCATAGTTGTAAATTGTTTGGGATTTTTCTATTGTTGGACTATTATTTCATAGAGCTTATAAGTTTTTCAAGTGGATAATTATTATATAATTGTGCAAAAGCACGATTTGGTGAATTTTGCGATCTGACGTAATTTTGCTTTGCCGTAAATATTTTTTTTTACTTTTTATGTTGCTTTCACTTTATATTATGATTTCCACAATATTAATATTAATATAATTAAAAACAAAATAAAACTCGATTATTTTTTGAACTCCCTTCACAAAAAAAAAACCCTAGCATTAAGTGGTTAAAAGCATTTTTTTTTGTAAAATTAATATTAGCAGTTGTGCTGAAATTGTTGACTAGTCTGATAAATTATCAATAATATAATAATATCATCATAATTGTGTAAAAGTAATATAATACTAAATATTTTTTTGCTGGTTGTGACTATCGTATACAGAATATAGAATACAAAATGGCATTATTTTGGAACATTTTATACCTGAAGAGTCATAAAATTGCCTGTGAGACGAGAAAGCGACCACAATAAATCTTTGTATTAGTAAAAAATGTCAAGCAAATGTCTGTACAGATTTAGTACCAGTTTAGGAAAGTCAGATAAGACAATATATGTGGGTCATTGCACGGGACATATGATTTCATTTTAGAGATATGGTTTCTTCAGCAAAGTATCTTATTTTGATCCCTAGTATCCGAAAATCATATGTGCCTATATATATATATATATATATATATATATATATATATATGATATTTTTGTCGACATTAATACATATTTGATATATATTTTTCCATCCCAATCGTCAAATTAAAAAATCTCTCTCTTGTCACTCTACCGTACGTGCTGCGTAACCTTCATCAGTTTCCATAATGCACTGCGATTGAACACACACAATATAGGAGGGCAATATGTGCTCCTATAATTCCTCGATTATTAATATACTAGTATAATATTTTTACACCATTTTAGTGTTCAATAAATTTTACATAACTAATTTTTTCTGTTGTTTTTACTGGTTTGGTATGTACCTACATAATTTTCTCCTTTTTATGTTTTTATAATATCAACTTTTGTATTTATGTAATGTTAATGATGACACACATCAAGTGTCGAAACTTTAATGGAATAAAAAAAAAATTCTATTCAATCTTTTAATTCGATGATTGGGCTGCAAAAATATTTCAAATATATATATATATATATATATATATATATCACACACACATATATATATATATATATATATATAGTATATTCTATTTCTTATATTTCAATTAATAAATATTAAAAAAATAATTTTGCACTAACAATCATTTACCATTTACCATTTTGCACGAAATCCACACACCGCACAACAACTTAATCATATATTCATAAAATAAACACTCAAATCTCTCTTAATTAAAAAATGCCTTTTGACTTTTGACTTTCACCTTTTACCTTTCAACTTAAACCTAAAACAGTACGGTCAAATTCCATAAAATGACTAAAATAAATAATAATACTTTCCTTCCTTCCTGACTCGATGACTCACTGGTTGATTGATTGACTGACTGACTTTTAGACAAAATATAAATATTATTGTGCAATTTTTTGTACTTTAATTGGCGGCTCCGTTTTGATGGACTCTGTTAAATATGAGGTATTCAGAACTAACTGGTAGTAGCGTTTCGTATTGGGGCTGTTCACTGGGAAGCCGAAGGCTCGGACCCCGATCTTTTGCCATCGGGACACTTCGTTCCTGGATAAAGGATAAGGATAAAAGATACATATATAAATAAAATGGACATATATTTATATATATTAGGGTGGTCCTAAATATGGACATTTTCGAATTTCCTTGCTCCCAACAAGGGCTCAAATGGTTCCAAATTGATAAAAAACAATTCTCTCAAAGTTTTAGCTCTTAATATTGTCTTTTAGATAGAGCGGAAATATAGATTTTAGATAGAGCTAGCTAATATATATATATATAATATATATATATATATATATATTCAATAGATAAGTCCTGGATTTTTCAATATATTGATTGTTTCTTTTCCGAACAGTAAATCCAATAATAAAAAACATTTGTTTTTTGAAGATGTTTAATACGACGTTTCGGAACTAGGTACGTTCCATCATCAGGTTTATTCTGTCAAATACAATGTTTTTTAAAATACTGATTAACATTAATTAACAATGGTCAATACAGATTAATTAGAAAAAAATTTTGTTATAAAGGAATGGATTATGTACCGGATAGATAGTAATAAGACTTAACTAAAAAAGGTTTTATATAAAATTGAGAAGCAAAAATTATTTACCTGTAATAATTTATATATCCATATCACTAATATTTTTTTGTTAAAAACACTCGATTTTTTTGGAAGATATTTGTAGATGTTACGACTACACAAGACTTAAACACACTGATATGGATTTCTGTCTGCCAGATGTAAAGGACAAAGCACGGAACTCTTGGCAAAAATGATTTTTTATGGCTCTTGTTTGGTAATTTACGAAAAAAGGAAAAATATTGCTTTAGTAAATGTTGAGAAATATTATGTATATATATATATATATATATATATATATATATATACATACATACATGAACATGTATATGCACACCTACATA